CACCTTTATTTTAAATCCGATTTATAAACTCGACAAATGTGCTTATGAAAAGTTATTTTCATTATCTCTAACAGCTATAAATAACACATTTGACTTGAGAATGGTTATCTACAGTACAGTTATCTTGAGGTTATCTTGAGATGATTTCGGGGCTTTTTTTAGTGTCCCCGCGGCCAGGTCCTCAACCAGGCCTCCACCCCCAGGAAGCAGCCCGTGACAGCTGACTAATACCCAGGTACCTATTTTACTGCTAGGTAACAGGGGCACAGGGTGAAAGATACTCTGCCCATTGTTTCTCGCCGGCGCCCGGGACCACAGGATCACAAGTCCAGTGTGCTGTCCGCTCGGCCGACCGGCTCAGAACGGACTGAAACGTCGTCGTCCCTTCACTTTGTAGTGTGTGGTTTGGTCAACAATAACATTGGATTTTAAAAGAGGTAGTAAAACTTTATTAAAAGAAAGTAGCCATGACATTGTTGCCTAATTTAATCTTTAAATTGCGCAACACTTCATATGAGTGTTGAGTAACCGATGTGAAAGTGCGCAGCACTTCATATGACATTTTGGAGTACTGCGCAAGATTTAAATGCCATGCACTAATGGGTAAAAAAAAAAAATACACAAGAGATAATGATTTATCCAGGGCCTCCCCTCTAGGCTAAATACGGACCCCCTGCACGATGCAGCCCACAACAGGTACCTCACTCCTGGGGACATGTTTACTGCTAGGTGGACAGAGGCATCAAAGTCCCTTAGATTAGCTATTGACCTGCCCCTGGATGCAACCCTCAATAAAGTAATTTCCCAACTCACAAGTACTGTACCTGTGTATTGCTAGGTGAACAGGAGCACCAGGCGAAAGGAAACATATCCCACATCTTGTGTCCTGTCTGGGTATTATTTTATAAAACGCCTCTGAAAAAAATTGATTGTCAATTTTTGAATATTAAAGCCTCTATAGCCATAATGCTTCCATATTGGCAGGTGTATATCTTTCACCCCCTCCCCAAAACAGGTGTCTCCTCTTGGTTGACTCTCTTCCTAATGATTGACCAGACTATCAACCAGGAGGTCTGGTCAGAGACCGGGCCGCGTGGACCTTGACCCCCGGAACCAACGCAAGGTAGGTATTCACCAAATGACAGGTGTTTTCCCCTTTATACAGTGAAAGATGTCTCTTCCTCCCCAAGTGACAGGTTTCTCTCATTCTCCGTTTGACAGGTGTCTCCATTTGACATCTGTCTCCGTTTTTCAGTGACAGGTGTCTCTCCCTCCCAAAGTGACAGGTTTCTCCTGTTCTTTGTTTGACAGGTGTCTCTCCCTTCCTAAGTGATAGGAGTCGCCCCTCTCCCAGTGACAGGTGCCTATCCCTTCTCAAGTGACAGGTGCCTATCCCTTTTCAAGTGACAGGTGCCTATCCCTTCTCAAGTGACAGGTGCCTATCCCTTTTCAAGTGACAGGTGTCTCCCCTCCTCAAAGGACATATGTTCCCCTCTCTTAATGACAGATGTTATCCCCTCCCATAGTAGCAGGTGTTCCCTCCTTTAGTGACAGGTGTCTCTTCTTCCCTCAGTAACAGATGTCTACCATCTAGAAATGACAGATGAGTTTCTCTGCAAGTATTAGGTAACTAATTGTTAGATTTACTAATAAAATAATAGTGAATAATGCAGTAAATGAATGGTAATAAGGTAAATAGTTATGGGGAGATTGAACGTGAAGAACTGAAACAAATTGTTGTAAGTAAATAAAGAATAAAGAAATGCAAAGATTTTTATTACCCATTTATTATTTAGCTCATTGTAATTATTATTACAAGATTTTCAACTCATTTCTCGTCATAATATGCTGAGAATTCATGATGACTTTGTTCATATTTGAGTTGGCTGTATCTCGGTAAATATTGGTCAAGAGGCTTTAATATTGCAAAATAGCAAAGAAAGAGAAATACCAATTAACGCGGTAAATCCAATGGTAATATTTTCAAAACGATTCTATGGCTGGTTTTGATTTTGAGTTTTGCGAAAAATGACGATTTCGCCGAGGTGACAATTTTCAAGCTGCGGTTGGCTGTTGTCTCGTGAGGTCGCAGTTTCATTGCAATATTTCATGCGTTTTGTTACGAAATTGTTCATCGATATTATTGTATTAACTTATTGGCTATATCTCTTGATCACGTCGTTGCCTATATTTAGATAACAAATTATAAATTAAATATTCGTCTTCGTGAGTGGCTGATTTAATTTACTGGTTTAGATTTACTATAGTTTCCTACATTTACTATTAAAGGCGTGATAAATAAAGTAAATAAAGCAAGTGACAAGTGCCTACCTCACTTATTTACAAGTGTTGTTTTCCTTTAATAACAGATGCTGCTCTTTTTTTTAGTGTAGTGGGGAGCATCTGTAGCCTCATCAATAGCAACAGATGTTCCCCTTTCCTTACTGAAAGGTGTCTCTCTTCCCCCATTCACAGGTGTATATCTTTCACCCCCCCCCCCCTTGCCACAGATGTCTCCTCTTGGTTGACTCTCTTCCTACTGATTGACCAGACTATCAACCAGGAGGCCTGATCAGAGACCGGGCCGCGTGGACCTTGACCCCCGGAACCAACGCAAGGTAGGTCCTCCCCAAATGACAGGTGTCTTCCCCTTTATACAATGAAAGGTGTCTCTTCCTCCCCAAGTGACAGGTTTCTCCCATTCTCCGTTTGACAGGTGTCTCCGTTCTTCAGTGACAGGTGTCTTCATTTGACATGTGTCTCCGTTCTTCATTGACAGGTGTCTCTCCCTCCCAAAGTGACAGATTTGTCCTGTTCTTTGTTTGACAGGTGTCTCTCCCTCCCCAAGTGATAGGAGTCGCCCCTCCCCAAGTGACAGGTGCCTATCCCTTCTCAAGTGACAGGTGCCTATCCCTTTTCAAGTGACAGGTGCCTATCCCTTCTCAAGTGACAGGTGCCTATCCCTTCTCAAGTAACAGGTGTTTCTCCTCCTCAAAGGACATATGTTCCCCTCTCTTAATGACAGATGTTTCCCCTCCCTTAGTAACAGGTGTTCCCTCCTTTAGTGACAGGTGTCTCTTCTTCTCTCAGTAACAGATGTCTACCATCTAGAAGAGATAGATGAGTTTCTCTGCAAGCATTAGGTAACTAATTGTTAGATTTACTAATAAAATAATAGTGAATAATGCAGTAAATGAATGGTAATAAGGTAAATAGTTATGGGGAGATTGAACGTGACGAACTGAAACAAATTGTTGTAAGTAAATAAAGAATAAAGAAATGAAAAGATTTTTATTACCCATTTATTATTTAGCTCATTGTAATTATTATTACAAGATTTTCAACTCATTTCTCGTCATAATATGTTGAGAATTCATGATGACTTTGTTCATATTTGAGTTGGCTGTATCTCGGTTAATATTGGTCTAGAGGCTTTAATATTGCAAAATAGCAAAGAAAGAGTTAACAGAAAGAAATACTAATTATCGCGGTAAATCCAATGGTCATATTTTCAAAAGGATTCTATGGCTGGTTTTGATTTTGAGTTTTGCGAAAAATGACGATTTCGCCGAGGTGACGATTTTCAAGCTGCGGTTGGCTGTTGTCTCGTGAGGTCGCAGTTTCCTTGCAATATTTCATGCGTTTTGTTACGAAATTGTTCATCGATATTATTGTATTAACTTATTGGCTATATCTCTTGATCACGTCCTTGCCTATATTTAGATAACAAATTATAAATTAAATATTCGTCTTCGTGAGTGGCTGATTTAATTTACTGGTTTAGATTTACTATAGTTTCCTAGATTTATTATTAAAGGCGTGATGAATAAAGTAAATAAAGCAAGTGACGAGTCCTTATCTCACTTAGTTACAGGTGTTGTTTCCTTTAATGGCAGATGCTGCCTTTTTTAGTGTAGTGGGGAGCATCTGTTGCCTCATAAATAACGACAGGTGTTCCCTTTCTTTACTGAAAAGTGTCTCTCTACCCCATTGACAGGTGTATATCTTTCAACCCCCGCCCTTACCACAGGTGTCTCCTCTTGGTTGACTCTCTTCGTACTGATTGACCAGACCATCAACCAGGAGGCCTGGTCAGAGACCGGGCCGCGTAGATCTTGACCCCCGGAACCAACGCAAGGTGGGTCCTCCCCAAATGAAAGGTGTTTTCCCCTTTATACAGTGAGAGGTGTCTCTTCCTCCCCAAGTGACAGGTTTCTCCCATTCTCCGTTTGACAGGTGTCTGCGTTCTTCAGTGACAGGTGTCTCCGTTCTTCAGTGACAGGTGTCTTTCCCTCCCAAAGTGACAGGTTTCTTCCGTTCTTTGCTTGACAAGTGTCTCTCCCTCCCCAAGTGATAGGAGTCGCCCCTCCCCAAGTGACATGTGCGAATCCCTTTTTAAGTGACAGGTGCCTATCCCTTTTCAAGTGACAGGTGTCTCCCCTCCTCAAAGGACATATGTTCCCCTCTCTTAATGACAGATGTTATCCCCTCCCATAGTAGCAGGTGTTCCCTCCTTTAGTGACAGGTGTCTCTTCTTCCCTCAGTAACAGATGTCTACCATCTAGAAGAGACAGATGAGTTTCTCTGCAAGTATTAGGTAACTAATTGTTAGATTTACTAATAAAATAATAGCGAATAATGCAGTAAATGAATGGTAATAAGGATAATAGTTATGGGGAGATTGAACGTGAAGAACTGAAACAAATTGTTGTAAGTAAATAAAGAATAAAGAAATGAAAATATTTTTATTACCCATTTATTATTTAACTCATTGTAATTATTATTACAAGATTTTCAACTCATTTCTCGTCATAATATGTTGAGAATTCATGATGACTTTGTTCATATTTGAGTTGGCTGTATCTCGGTAAATATTGGTCTAGAGGCTTTAATATTGCAAAATAGCAAAGAAAGAGTTAACAGAAAGAAATACTAATTATCGCGGTAAATCCAATGGTCATATTTTCAAAACGATTCTATGGCTGGTTTTGATTTTGAGT